CCAAAAAAGTTGGTTTGAAAAAAAAATGCCTTTACTCCACCTTTCGCCGAAGGTGGAAGAGCCATTGGTCCCACATGTTGAAAATGAGGCAGCGCAGTCAACATCAACAGTGTCAAATCTGCTTCGACCTGCAATTGGCTCTGCGAGACGGCAAGATGGGCTGGCAGAAAAAGCTTGAGGCGGCCAAGCTTCTGAGACTCCACCAGGCAGACCAATACCGCGATAGGCTGCTTTACTGGTCCATGCGCTACGCCTCTCAGGTGCAGTCCAGCAGTCCGAGCCAGTCCAGCAGTCCGAGCCAGGCCAGCAGTCCTGCAGTCCCTGCAGTCCCAAATTGCGGCTCTGCTTCCGTGCTCACCATCATCATAGATGACATGGATCACAGCAAGTTTGCGTGGCCGCGTTGGCCTTTCCGCAAGCAGCCGCATGAGCTGGATGGCATGATTCGGCCCACTGTGACTTTCACAGGTGCCATTGCCCACGGGTGGGGGACATTTTTGTATATGGCAGGCCCACAAATGCATGGCGCCCACGGGTGGGGGACATTTTTGTATATGGCAGGCCCACAAATGCATGGCGGAGCAGATTACTTCTTGGAGGTTCTCTCGCAGACCATTGAGCAGGTCTGGAGGATGTGCGAGCAGTCCAATGGCCAAAGGACCTTTCCAGCAAACCTAGTGGTCATCGCTGATAACACTGTGAAGTCAGCCAAGAACCAGCAGGTGCTGCGCTACCTAGCGTACCTGGTAGGAAAGAAGATATTCCGCTCGGCCACATTGCTGCTCGGCATGTCTAATAGGAAGTTCCAACTGATCCAATGCTGATTGAGACCAAGCCAGGTTCCACCTCATGGTTGGTCATACGCATGAGGACATCGACCAGCTTTTTGCCATTGTGACAGCACTCCTGAAGCGCAAACAGTCCTGGGAAACGCCAGATGAGCTCTTGCAGTACATCCGAGAGGGCCTTTGGGCAGCAACTTGTTGATGGGTCCAGTCAAACTAGCATTTAGTTTCGTTTCTTCGCAACCTGAGGCTTGAACTCCTTGAATCCGGGCGAGTTCCAGTCTTGCAGTCCGCCAGACCCGCAGTCCAGCCCTGCGGCCCGCAGGGGCGCTGTTCATGCAAGGCACATAACAGGGGTCCGCAACTTTGATGCATGGTTGGACCACCCTTTGGCGGTCCGTCTCTACAATGCATTCCGCCAAAGAAGCACCTGGACATGGGCTGGGGAGGAGCTGCCGGAGGTCCCACATTGCTTCACCATGGTGTTAGGCAACATCCTCGCGACCAAGCACCTGGACATGTTGGAAGCCAGCGTCGAGCCAGACGCGGTGTACTGCTGTGTGAAAATGTATGTACGGGGTCTGATGCTCAGTCAACCGCCCCTATTGGTTGCCCCCGCTGCAAGAATCCGAGCTGTGCAATCGCACGGCCCTAATTTGGTGCATGCTGCCAATTCACTCTCAGCCAAGCAAATAGAGACGTTCTCGCGGCTAGCGCGACTCTGCCAAGACAAGTATGGCCTGCAAGAGGCTGCAAAGGCTCTCTTTTCCATCATTACTGACAGAGCTTATGATGTGCACTGCTTATCCTTTCTCAGAAACTGCCATAGGCAATTTCTTGCACAGGATGAAGGCAACGCGCAACTGCCATATCTGCCAGGCAGCTGTTGGCGTCTGATGGCTGAGTTTCAACGCTGAAATTGAAAAAACAGAGCCCAGCAGAGTTGGCCGAGCTTGTTGCAGCTGATGGTGAGCATGCTTCAGTCACTTGACCTTGAGCAGCACAAGATTGATGATTTGCTGACCGCTGGCTTCATCTTAGGCAGGACGAGTAGACATTAGCAAAAGTCTGTGAGCGGTCCTGCAGTCCTGCAGTTTTGCACTTTGCTGCCATGAGCCCAACACATGCTCGCGCAATCGCTGAGACGTGTTCGCTGGTACTGTTTGGCTTGACTGTGGCTGCAGTCCTAGACATGGAGCCCACAATGCCTCGCGACTTGGATGTGCTGGAAGTTTTCACACTTGCAAAGACAATTGAGGAAGCAGCCACCAGCCGGAACTTCAAGGCAGAGACCTTTGATTTTATGACCCCTGGTCAAGAAGATGTCAGGACAGAGACCGGGTTCTGGCAACTCCTGAACCTGCTTTTGAGAGTCAAAGAGGGTGGTCTGGTTACGCTGGCTCCGGACTGTCGGTCCTTTGTCTTTGCACCCTCAAGCAAGACCAAACGGACGAAGCAAAACTATGATGGTGATGCCAGGTGTCCTGCAGTCCGCTCAGGCAACTTCATTGCTAGGATTGCTTCATTCATGTACGTGCTAGCGTTGGCAAGGGGAGCCCAAGTCTGCCTCGAGAACCCTTCTGGCTCCATGATCTTCTCCTTTCTCCGGAGCCAGATTGGCCGTCTTGCAGGCCTGCAGTCCCCTGTCTTTTACATAGTGCCCAGATGCGCCTATGTGCTGCAGCGGCCTACATTCTTGAAGAAATACAAGTTCATGACATCCGGGACCTGGTTTGCCCAATGTGCGCGGCAGTGCTGCTGCGCAGCCCCACATGAGCGCCTGATGGATGTTGTTGAGCTGGAGGATGGGACAGTCCAGGTGAATGGCAATGGCCACCTGAAGCAAAGCGGGCTGTATCCTGCAGCCCTGGGCGAGGCTACTCTGCTTGCGTGGATGAAGGCCTTTCAGAAGACGACTGACCCAAAGTTGCTGGCGCCCGTCCACGCAGTCCCCAGCCCTAAGCCCGTCCACGCAGTCCCCAGTCCTGCAGACCCTGCAGCAGCTGCGCCGCGCGCAGCAATGGATTCTGCGGATGATGCGGATGATGACCCTTGGGCTGACAACAACCCCGAGCGCCCGCCAGCTAAGCCTTCCAAGAAGAAACGTTGCAAGAAAGTGACGAAGAGACCAGCAGCCAAAGTGCGGGCTAAGGTGACCAAGGCAAAGACAGTTGCCAGCCAAGCTGCGTGCCCTGATGATGATTCGGATCCCTGGGGGTAAGGCCCCCACAGGCCATAGAGCTCTGGAGCCAGGCTGTGCGCCTCTTGAAAAGCAAAAATGAGTTTGCCACACTTAGCTTGAACATGTCATTGCTGTTTGCAAAGACCTTTCGCGCAGAGGGAGCCAGCTTACGCGCATGCCCCACTGCCTTCTTGTTGCTGCCACAAATAGGCTGCAGCAGTTTTGGCTCCTGTCATTTTGACTTGCAGCTAGCTTCACGGCCATCATCATGTTTGGTGGCTGCATGGCAGATGTGACTCCACTGAGCCAAGGCTCTGAAGAAGGCTTGCCAGACCAGGATGTGAGTTCTCCATCCACTGGCGACAAGAAGGCTCACAACCTCTTGGACCTGCAGTTGAACATGTCCTGCAGTCGGCAGTCCTTGCTCAGCACCCCTTCTCCGACTGCGCGCATCCATGGGAAAAGCCCTCAAGCTGTGGCAGCTGCAACGCAGCACCAGTCCCAGTTGCAGTCCCACTTGCAGTCTGGCCTGCAGTCCGGCAGTCCCCAGTCTGCTCCAAGCCGCATCTATGGCACGCATACTCCAGCGGAGCTGCTTGCCATGACCAGGGCTGGGCTTGTCCCGACTGGTGGCATGATGCCGGCTGCGGGAACTGAGGGCTACCAGATTGATGACAGAAAGACTCGAGCCAAGGCGGCCAAAGCCCCCAAGGCAAAAGCCACACCGAAGGCTCAGGGCAAGCCCAAGGCCCAAGGCAAGGGCAAGCCGGGCCGACCTCGCAAGGATGTCAGCATGAAGAAGCCTGCAGCCGCCCCAAAGAACACCAAGAAGCGGCCAGCTGCTGCTGCTGCTGATCCTACTGCGCAGGATCAATCAAGGGGGCTTCATGTAAATGATTGATGTGTGTCATGCATTTATGACATTCAAAAACCAGAGTAACATCCACACATTGCCCTCTGCTGCCTTATCATCGTCCCTCAGCCCCAGTGCCAGGACAATCTGGCGAAGCAGTCTGAGAGCATGGTCAGCGACACTGAGTCCCGCGTGAATGAGGGGGAGAATATGGATGTTGACCTGCAGGCCGAGGGCGCTGCGCAGGTGCCTGTGGACGAGATGCCAGAGCCCGCAATGCTGGCCCTGGAGGATGGTGTCGCAGATGCAGATGGTCCCAATGAGCGGCCAAACCTCTTCACGAACCCGACGGACTTGAAGCGACCTACGAAGAAGACGTTCGCAGGAAGGTACATGCCTGCCAACCGCAGCTTGCTTATTCCATTTACAAGACAGCCTTTCAGGTCTTGAGTTTTCGCATCTGAGCTCTTGATGCTTTTTTTTTGTTTCCCAGCAGCTGAATGTGCGTGGCAATGGCGCGAACCTTTGGGAGCTCATTCGGTCCACCTTCTACACGCACATTCCTCCGGCAATGTGGACTGAGTCCAACGAGCGACTCTTCTGGACCACCTGGGGCCCTGACATGACGACGGAGGATGCGCTGCTGAAGTTTCACCAGGCTGTAGGTCGTGAAGCAACTCTTGCTTATCACACTGCACATTTGCGGGTCTGATACAGTCCTGAAGTCCTGCAGTCAGCAGGTCTCAGTGAAAATATCGGAGTAGGATCTTCCTCCTTTTTGAGCGTAGGGAGAGGAGCATGTTCCCAGCCACCTTCCGTCCTGCAGTCCTGCAGTTTCTGATGCACTTACGACGGCAGGCTCAGGGACTGGAAGATGAGGCATTTCACTGAAGTTTTGACTCCTCACACTTGATGTGGATCCTTGCAGTGAGGGAAATGACGAGTTGTGTTGCCACCTTGGTGATGGCTCAGAGTTTAAGCCTTTTATACCCACCTGTACTTGCAGCATTTCATCTCCAGACCTTGGGGGTTAAGGGTTTAGAGCAAACTCTGAGCAATCAGTAAGGCTTGGAAAGTAACTGCGACTGTGCATGGCAAAGCTTGGAGAGTGCCTGTGACAGTGGATGAATGAGCATGCGCATGTCCAGCTTTCTCATCGCTGCTGGCCATTTGGAGTCGGGCTTAGCGAGCTTAGCTCCTGCTGTCCAAGTAGGAGACCTTGACCCCAAGGCGCCAATGGCAGAGTTG